AGCGATAGCATAGGCCTAGGCTAGAGACCATAGTTGACAGGGTCCTTGTCAGGATTCTGTGGGTTCTTAGATTGAGTCTATAGGTTTGTCAGTCAGGGGTCAGAGTCTACGTGGTGAGGTATGGAACCACTAACCCGGTTGTACACTTATCACCATGGTTGGGACCCGTAGTGGGTTAGAGACTAGCCCCTATAGTAAGGAGCAGCAAGAAAAGATGGCCGCCTTAGTCAGAGAGAACAGGGAGAGGAAAGAGCATGAGAAGCAAGCGAAGCTAAAGGCTATCGCAGACGAGCAGGCGGCGAAGATGAAGAGGTTAGAGGAGGAGACGAAGAGAGTACAACAAGAGGAGGAAGAAAGAAGAAAAGTTGCTGAAGCAAAAGCGGCAGCAGAAGAAGAGAAAGAGAGAATGAGAATTGAGAGTGGAGAAGGGAGCAGTGGTGGCACGATGAAGTGGGAGACACACACTGACCTGGAGAAGAAGATCAGCGAGTGGGTCGCTAATTTAACGTTGGGGGAAGACGAGGAGGCAGAGTCACATGTGACTAAGGATGAGAAGGCTGCGCTGGCCACTGAGCTAGCAGCCATGACGGACCCGATGGAACGAAGAGAGAGGGAAGACGAGCAAAAGTTAGCATGGAAGCTGAGAATGAAGAGGGAGAAGAAGAGGAGGAGAGAGGAAGTGAATAAGATGACCGCAGCAGTGGCAAAGGTGCAGGAGTGTAGAGCGGAGGTGCTGGCCCAGCCAGATGATGAGGCCAAGTGGGACAAGGTACTGGGCTACCTAGAGGTGTTGAGCAAGGCATGGATGGAGGAGCGCTAGGCAAGCTGGAGCCAGGATGTAGCGTTGAGTGCCATGCGGTCCGGTTTCAGGGATTTTGCGCGCGAAATCGTCACCCACATTGGGGGCGAAGTCAAGCAGTTGACGGAAAATGTAGGGAAGTTTTGTGAGGGCGCCATTATGGGTGCCAAAGCTGCAGCCGTTGTAGAAGGAGAGGCCAGACCCCGTAATGACCCAGTGAAACTTAAGTTCCCAGATGCGTACGGGGGAAAGAAGGAAGAAAACTTTGACAACTGGGAAGCCAGTGTCAATAGTTATATTTACTTACAACACATCCTGATTGAGGAACAAGTCCTCGTGGCCTTCCAGGCCCTCAAAGATGAAGCGACTAGTTTCGCCAGGTCTCTTGCGCGTACAGCCGGTTGTGAAAACAACCTGGTTGCATATTCCAAAGTCACCCCTCTTTCCCAATTCCTCAAGCTCCTCAAGGAGCGTTTCGCTGACCCAACGAGAGGCATTAGAGCCTCTGACAAGCTGCAAACGATCCACTCACAGCAATGGAGGAGTGCCAGGGCAAGGGTACCATGGACGACTTAGTGGCCATCCCGGACCATGGGGTCACTGAGACCCAGTTGGTCCAATTGTTTTATCGTGCCATACCAGAGGCCCTGCGCGGGCATTTCTTTGACAAATCTCAACAGGCCGGCATCACATATGATGCATTCAGTAGAGAAGTCGTTCTGTATGAGTCAAAGTCTATGCCAGTTACCACCTTCTGGCACAAAGACTTGGAGAAAGGAAAAGGGTGGAAAGGGCGTACCATCTCTGGCCAAGTCAAGGCCAAGGATCATATGATCCTTACCTTAGAGGAAGGTGGTACAGACGAGGTTCCGTATAGTCAAATCGAGTGGGGCCTCGAGGATGATGGCAGTAGTGCGGGGCAAGGGAGGTCCTATGCTGTTGTCGCGGCTGGAGGGAAGCCTCAAGGTAGAGGAGGAGGCCAGGGCCAAAGGGGCCAGGCCATGGGAGGCTGTGGGCCGGGCGCACAGGGGGTTGGCGGACAGGGAAACCGCCAAGCGGGAGGTAGGGGTCAAGGTCCCCGCTAAATCGCCAGGGTAATCGGTCCCCACAGCGAGGAGGTGGAAGGGCACCTCAAGGAGGATGGCACCCAGGCTTGCCACAAGGCAGGCCCTGGGAAGACTTGGGCTTGGACCGACAATTATGGCAGGAACGCGTGAACATGGGTCAGTGCGTATTTTGTGGTTACCCGGCGGACGTAATAAAATTTTGTCCTAAGTATAGACAGGCCCGTTGGGCTGCCCAGCAGTCAAAAGGCAGCCGCCAGTAAGGGTTGCAACTGCCCCTACTTCAAGGTCATGTGGAGAAGTGAGCGCGCGCGAACAGGACACTCCCAACCCACATGAACCTATGGCAGAGGTTGCAGGCCTGTGCCTAGCTAGCTGTCCAGAGACCGCTTGTGTTAGCGTCTCTTTAGGCACGTCCCTCACAGGTGTGGCAAGAGAGTTAAAGGAGAGGATGCCAGCCTGGGCCAAAATGAAAAGGGAGAGTAAGGGACAACTGATTTTGGTAGATGTAGAGGTGTTTAGAAGTAGAGTAGGGGCCCTTATAGATTCAGGGGCTACCCATAGTTATATTAGCTGTAGGGCGCTGAAGAAGTTGAGGCTAGGATTAAAAGTCCAGAAGTTAGTAGACCCGATAGTCAGTGTCCTCGCAGACAACCGCACGATGCGAGTTGAGGACTACGTAGAGGGAGTCTAGGCGTACTTTCGCCTAGAGAAGAATGGAAAAGTGGAGAAGGTCCTCCATTCTTTGACTCTCCTCGTGCAGGATGACCTTCCTTTTGATGTAGTTTTAGGAATGGATTGGGGAGAGGCAGCAGGGGCCACACTCCATTTGAGAGAGCATGAGTGTAGGCTCCCTAATCCGTCAGGCAAGGTTAAGACTGCCCGTTTGTTCCATGTGTCTGGTGTAGACAACACCTTGGCACATTGTTGTCTCAGTGCTCCCGCGTTCACGCGATTAGTCAAAAAGGAGCAATTAGAAGAACAGGTCTTTGTAGGTTATGTTAGACCTGTCACTGAGGCTCAGGAAAAGGATAGGTCCACAGATCCAACAATTGCCAAGCTGCTGGAAGAATTCAAAGATTTGACTGAGTCGCCGACAGGAGTAGTGTCGCGACCTATCCAGCACAGGATAGAGATAGAGCCTGGTAGTAGAACTCCTAAGGGTGCAATCTACAGGATATCCCCTAGTGAGTTAGAGGAGCTTCGCAAGCAGTTAGACGAACTCCTTGAAAAGGGTTGGATCAGGCCCAATTCGTCTCCTTTTGGAGCACCAGTCTTGTTTGTCCCCAAGAAGGAAGGAGAGTTGAGAATGTGCATAGACTATAGGGGTTTGAATGCGATCACCGTGAAGAATGCTGAGCCGCTGCCCAGGATAGACGATCTTCTAGATCGGGTGCAAGGTTGCAAGTATTTCTCCAAAATAGACTTGGAGTCCGGATAGCATCTGATAGAAGTCCATCCTGATGATCAGTATAAGATTGCATTCCGGACTAGATATGGGCACTATGAGTTTATAGTGATGCCCTTTGGACTAACCAACTCGCCAGCCATTTTTCAGCGTTGTATGAACGATCTGTTTAGACCGTGGTTAGATAAATTTGTAGTAGTCTACTTAGATGATATTCTCGTTTTTAGTAAGACCCTCCAGGAACACCAGAGTCATTTGAGGTAGGTCTTGGAGAAGCTTAGAGAGGCTAGCTTCAAGATCAACGTAAAGAAGTGCGAGTGGGCCAAAACACAAGTCCTGTACTTGGGCCACATATTAGACGGAGATGGCATTAAGCTAGAGGACAACAAGATATCGGCGATTAGAGACTGGCTGACGCCCCACACATTGGTCGTTCCTAGGCTTAGCTAACTACTATAGGAAGTTCGTGAGGAACTTCTCCACTATCGCCGCCCCCTTTCGCAGACTGCTAAGGAAAGAGGCAATCTGGCAATGGGACAAAGACTCTACGTCTGCGCTCAAGAAGTTAAAGCGCGCGTTAATAAAACATCCCGTCCTCAAAGTAGCAGATTCGTCCTTGCCATTTGTGGTTACCACGAACGCAAGTCAGTATGGGATAGGCGCCGTGTTGCAGCAAGACGACGGCAATGGCTATAGACCCGTAGAGTTCATGTGAGCGAGGATGCCCTGTGAGAAGGTTGCTACCTCCACGTACGAGAGAAAACTCTACGCTCTCAGGCAGGCATTAGACCATTGGAAACACTATCTGCTTGGGAGGCACTTCAAAGTGTATTCTGACCACGAGACACTTCGTTGGTTAAAGACACAGGCCAAGATGACACCTAAGTTGACTAGGTGGGCCGCAGAGATAGACGAATTCGACTTTGAGCTCAAGCCAGTAAAGGGCAAATACAACGTAGTTGCGGATGCTCTGAGTAGGAGATCAGACTACTTTGGAGCCGTAGTACACTATCTGGATATAGGGAGAGACCTGCAGGAGAAAGTGAGGCAAGCATATGCGCAGGACCCTATCTATAGCGACCTCCTAAAGAGAGTTAGAGAGGCCCCGGAGACTGAACCAGATTACCGCACTACAGACGGGTTGCTGTTTGAGAAGACTAATGTGTTTGACCGCCAGTGCGCCCCCAACAGCAAAGAGATCCGCAATTTGATTTTAGGGGAATGCCACGATACTGAAGGGCATTTCGGTTGGCAAAAGACATTAGCCAACCTGATGCGTGCGTATACCTGGCCAGGGATGAAGAATGACTGCATAGAGTATGTCCACAGTTGTAAAGTGTGCCAGAGGAATAAGTCTACTACACGCGCGCCCCTAGGTCTTCTCAGACCCTTGCCTATTCCGGATCAGCCGGGAGACTCCGTGTCCATAGACTTCATGGACACCCAGATCAAGAGTAGGCATGGTAAGAGCCAAGTCATGGTCGTAGTTGATCGCTTTAGTAAATATGCAGTTTTCGTTCCTTTGCCTGCAGAGGCACGTACGGACTTAGTTATACAAAAGTTTTTTGACTTTTGGGTTAGTGAGAATGGAATCCCATTGTCAATAGTTAGTCATAGAGATAGTCGTTTCACCAGCCAGAACTGGCAAGAACTCATGAGAGTTTATGGATCTAAGTTGCTAATGTCATCTGGCCGTCACCCAGAGACTAACGGTCAAACAAAACAGATGAACAAGATCCTACAGCAAGTTCTGCGCATGTACATTAGACCAGATCAGATTAACTGGGATGAGATGTTGCCTAAGGTAGCTAGTGCATACAACAACAGCGTGCATCTATCCACCTGCCGCACTCCCAATGAGTTGCACAAGTCCTTTAGACCACGCAGACCGTTCGAAGGACTGAACCGGGATCAGATTCACAGATTACCGCCCGACACCAGGGAGTTTGCGATATAGCACGAGAAAGAACTAGCCACTGTCGTTGAAAACCTCAGGAAGGCCCAGCATAGGATGATAGAGCAAGCTAATAAGCACCGCCGCCCGTCGCAGTTTCAGGTAGGAGACTTAGTCTGGGTCAAGGCTAAAGAGTTTGCACCCGAGGAAAACATCTCGCAGAAGTTACTGCCCGCATATAGAGGACCGTGGTCGGTTTTAGAAGTCAAGGGCGGAGAGAATGGACCGTCCTATAGCATTGAGATTCCAACAACCTCCACACATACCCTGTGTTTCATGCTTCAAAGCTGTTGCCGTGTGTCACAAGTCAACAGTTCCCTTCGAGAAGATCCATGATCCCCCCGGATATGGATGGAAGTTATGACATTGAAGGCATTGTAGATGAGGATGTGTTCAGAACAGTAGGTAGAGGTCGTCCCCAGAAACAATATAAGGTCCATTTTGCTTATCAGGAACCGGAAGACGACCGCTGGTTCACAAAAACAGAACTCCTAGAAACCGCTCCCGACATAGTCAGAGCCTATGAACGTGACAAGAAAGGTAAAGGTCCCGCCTTGGACTGAAATGTTCTCGGAGGACCTCGAATTTAGGACGGCGGGAGTGAAACGGTTTTCACCTTTTAGCAGCAGCGGATGCAGTGCCCAGGGTTCGATCCCTAGACCTCA